ATATTGTCCTGATGTTTCGGATTCCCGACGGAATCGCATATTCAATTCTATTAATAAAGGCCAATTGCTTGAGGTGAAGGAAAGAATTTAGCATTATATTGCATGATAAGCAATAACACAAGTAAACTAAGCCTTCAGAATCGAAAAAAATACTTTAAAATTTTGGTTAACATTTCATGTGGTAGGCCAGATGCCTTGAAAGGATCCAGGGATGTAAAGATAAAGTCTGAATCAGAAAGAAAGCCAACACTTCCCTAACCAAGATTGTGCTCGTAAGTAAGATCAGTCAGAAGCAGAACCCAATACGAAATATGCGAAGAATTGACACAAAAGCTCAAAACTAGTGAGTATATAGTCCATAACGCCATCAGCAATGGAATAAGGATGCGCCCTTTAGTTAGAATAAAAATGCGTCTGCCTACTAGTACGTTTTCAGTTGAGGCTGACCTAAGGAAAATAATAATGATAAAAGGTTTAGCAGCAAGGTGACTGTCATCATCGTCAGGACAAGACGTATTGGATTACCAACGCAGCCTCTAACAGCATGATTGACGTGTACAGTACAGACTTCAGAGCAAAGAATGATCGAAAAAAAATCTGAGCTCGTGAAACTACCTAGCGCCACATTCTTCTTATATTCTTGCCGGTACTTCTAAAAAAGAAACGGGAGATGGGTGCACCTGGATCTGCTCTTTCAGTCTCAATCCCCTCTGCGCTCATGGGAAACCTTTGAGCCTGTGAGAAACGATTGCCCTGTAGGATTAACATCCCAGATGACGTACTCAGAGTGGTTTTTGCAGTGACTGCCAGAAATTCTATATTTGTGGCTGAGGGAGATTCTGCCGTCCACCGCTCCCCCCTGTTGTATACAATTTGAACTTATTTTTGTTCAGTTAAAAGCTAATGAAGCCCAGTGCCAGTTAGGCGCAAAAATATGAATACGCCAACATTACAGTCACATTCTCCAACCTGTGGTACAGACTGGAGCCAATGACCAAGCCCGATTAAGGCACACGCCTTCGTGTTTGTTTTCGTTTTCCTGAGCACCCGGTGGTTATTTGAAAGTTCTTTGTCAAATACATGACATTTTACAGTTATTTGCAGGGATTATGTCATAAGAATAGTATTTTTAGTTTACACAGAGCTCCCGTTTTAGCGTTTTCAATGCAATCAACATAAGCAATGCATTCTGCTTATTAATGCCATTAATCCAAACTACTGCAATTTCATAAGTACGCATACTATTGAAATTTAAGTGTCTATTGACAGTCGTGCTGTTTAACAGTACTCATCTGCCACTTGCGAGAGGCCGATGAGTTGTGTAGACTAAGTATAGTCCTTGACCCTGATGTTATCTGTTTCCTGCGTTTGAAATTATCCGTACGGTAAAAGTCAGACAAATAACTTTAAGTCAACCACACTTGCGCTGTGCTTCCTTTTCGCTGATCTTTGGCACTTGCAGCATTGACTCTAGTCCTAATTCTAAAATTTAATTTATTTAGCCTCTTACTTCTGACAGCTGTCCAAATCAACAATAAGAGTAGCCAAAAAGGAAGAGTATCGGTCACATGGACGAACATTGTTGTTTTACAGCTTACAGAAATGTTTGACTAAGCATTACGATTCAGTGAAATCCAAAATTAGTTTAAAGCTAAGTTGCAAAACATATACTTCCATTTATAGTTGCTTCAGTTAACTGTTCGAAGTTAAAATATGGTTATCTTGATTTAAGGCGGCGTGGTGTTTTGAGTTTGGAGAACTGATATCTTATGCCAGCACGTTTTTTTATGAAACAAATATGAGCGATAATTTTATTTTTCGAAGAATTACAAAAGTCAACTCACTTAAGTATTCAAAAGCGGACAGAGTTTCCGCGAGCTCGTATTTTGCAAGTCTCATTAGTTCCACGATCGATTCATAGTCTTCACAGACTGAAAAGTGCACACAGGTAAAACACCATAAGTATGACTTTCCAGAAAACAAACTTAATTCCTGAAAAACTGTAGTTGTCAAAAAGTAAAAGGAATAATATGCTCGTCGCATCGTCTCGCGATTGAAATCAATAATAGTACGAAACCAATATTTTTGTTCGTATTAAGTAAAAATTACACACGTTTTAAACAAATCACTACTTCTTCCTCATCCTTGGGCTGGGAGACAGTTAACTTACAAAATTTCCCAAATTTTGACAAGACACACCTTATATAGAACATCTGAAAATTTTGCGTTTGCTTCATTTGAAGAAGATTAGCCATGTGAGGTTTCGGAACGGGTTGACAAAGAAAACATCCGACCTTTTTGCGCACAACCCAATGCCTGTTTAACGTAAGCATCCTTCCCGTCGCCTGGTTGAATCAGACCCTTGGATAAATCACCAATTAGATAGTATGCATATTTTGCATATACCTTGTCCGTTCGCATAAACTCAATCCCCTTTCCTGGAAAACTAATGAAGAATTATACCTGTAATTATTGATATAAAGTTCTGTTGTATTCAAGTAACTTATGTGAAATAAAGCTGTATTGTAATCGTAGACCCATATTCACACATGGCCTGCAAGTTTTAAAGTAATTTTTGCCTATTTTCTTTAAAATAAATTTGTCTTCTCCTTTCTGTTTTTTAGAAGACTTTTTTCGGATATTCTTATCATACTGTAGTACCTGTGGTCCATATCTTATACACGGTGAGTAACCTTAAGGAACTTGCAGGTAGTCAGCTACATGTATTATCGCACCAAAATATAAAACTTCCTCCAATTTTACTCTTTTGAATAGTTACTGTAATCCCTCCCCAAATAAAAGCTAGTACAAGATGAAAAAACTTCCTAGATAAATGCCAGAAGGGAAATTTATGTGTCTCTTAGAGAGCATAAAACTGACTTGATGCAATCATATAAAAGTCCCAAAATATGCTACTGATATACTTCTGTTTTGCTAAACGCAATTGAAACAAAAAGTAGTAAAAAAGTCGATGTATTACAGTTTATTCATTAGTCTGTTAATTTTAAAACCTCAACTTAATAACATTTTGCAATTTTAAGCATGCCTACACATTCTTTCAACGCACAGGAGTCTGAGCGCGCATTGGATGTTGCTGTAAAGTTAATTAGAAGCTACAACAGGCCTGAACATATTCTGAACTGTCATATGATGGTCCTTGAACTATTCATCTACATTGAAAGGCTCTTATGGTATCTTGAAGACAAACTGGTGTCCCACTACCTACTTACCGACAATAAGGAATCATAAAGCCAACGCCTTCCCGCCCTATGCTCTCATGTATTAAACACATTTGAGATATATTTTTCCTCAGATCAAAGCATCTTTCTGACAGACTAATGAAAGGTAATTGCGTTTGAAGTGAACATATGACTTACAGATCGTCCCTATGCAAGGATCAACAAGTCTTGCAACGGGATGGGTGTGTCCCTTTGAAAAACGTGTGAGCAAATTTGTGTTTTATATTGAAGTAAGATAAGTAAATGAAAACGCTAAGCAAATTACAAGTCTATTTGGGCGTTTACGATACGGTGCTTAAAAGCACCAAGCCGTTACCGCCCAAGCACATAGTATTCTGGCAGTCCATGCAAAACGCTTCGAAGACGCAAGTTAGAAAGTGTGTTTCGATTCGCTTTCCTTTCATGCCAAAATATTCACCCAGCTTACATTGTTTATTTTGAACGGACGAAGGGCAAGAAGGGATAGAACCTTAAATAAAAAAAGTAGATAGTACGCACAGGCGTATTTCAACTGTCCTCTTGCGCCTTGATTAATCACTTTAATTTGTTATTTCTTGTACCCGAAACTCGCTTTCACAAATGCCTACAACATCCAATCAAACAGATTTTGCGGAGTGAACTGGGCTTTTTCGACGAGCGAGTTCCGTATCCGTCCCCAGCTCCACTACGATCATAAATTAGCTAATTGGTTGGCAAACAAGATACGAAGCAGACGATCGTAAACGCGAGAAAAAGGAAACGATTATTCAACTTGAGAATAAAAAAATCTTCGAGAGGAAGGAAAAGGTGGTGCCTTAACAAATACGACGAAGCAGACTGAGCTTAGGACTACTGAGTGATAGGACAAGCTTAATTTCTATTATTGTTTCGCGTTTATAAAATTCTCCATGTGCTTCATTATCAACGAGTGCCGGGTGCTTCTGTGTACTTTTCTACTGTACAAAAAGACTTCAAAGTAGTGTTTTAAAGGACAGGGAGCTTTAGTTATGCTTGGAAAACTTATATTGTAATCCGGTAATATTATAGTACACCTCGACCATTAGAATGCCGCCGAAATTTTCCGAAGATCAATTACAGGGGTATTCATTTATATAGACCCCTGTTTTTATTTATATAGACCCCTGTATGCAT